TAGTCATAATCAAACTTTAAATGAAAATGAATTTCATCTACACTAGTCTGTTGTTATTTTTATCTATTACATCATTATCAATTATATCAGTAGTAATTGCTGAATTCAGTAATCTTTATATTCCAATTGAATTTAATGAAAATAGTAAGTTAATGATACTGTATTATATTAGATAATATTAGAATTGTTACAATGAAATATATGCTGTCCTTCAAACTCACGATCTGTCTTAGTCTTTATTAAGTTGATAATCAAAGAGTTAGCTATTTTCATATTATATGTATTTTCATATTATATGACCTGTCATGAAGCCATCATTATAGATTATCTCTATTTAATCGACTATATCATCAGTAATTTCATCTGATTACCCAAAATCCGATCCAGAGTTGTCAGTGGGACAATGTAGTAACAAGGAAATGTAAGACGATGAGATAGTTAAAAAACTTGATTTCTAAGGAATTCTACAGATATTCCCAACAATGGAAATGAAGTTATAACGTGTGTGTTGTTAGATTAGACACAGTAAGGCCTAAGATCAATCAGTGTACACTGAAGTTTGTAACTTGTTAAGTTTTGATGAACTACTTCAAACTTTGAATTCATGCATAAAAATAATCCCAATTCACATTGATATATATGCGTGTATCTGTTCATTTAAGAAGCCTACATTCGATAATCAATGTATTTCTGTTCTTGATTGAAGTCAAACTTTTACAATGGGATTTTGTTTCATTCTTCCGTATGATAGTTATATCTGCAATGTGTTTCATACATACTCTGAATTCTTTTATTTGTTCATGGCTGTAACTACCAAACTGAATAGATATCAAGTACTCAGTCGATTTGATGGGATGCAAATGCCCCTTTTTTCTATACTTTATCTTCCTATCAGTATGTAAAATTTACACGAGTTATTTGATTCTACTTGTAACCAAACCCTAAGGAGACTTGTCTACCATATCGTTATTAAATTATTGGATAAAAAAGAGATTCCACAATTATTGCTAATTATGTCGAATGAATTGTCAATAATATTCAAAGTTCATGACAAATATTGTTTAACTGTACCAATACGATATGTTGATTACTCCTTGTTCCGCAAGTAAACTCTCTAATAATTTGTTCAGCGGGTTATTTTAAAGTCTGATCATAGTAGTACTCATTTCTGTTTAAACAATTTTGGAACTGAACTTGGATTGATAAGTACTTCAATATCAAAAATCTTCAATATTCCAAAAGTAGAGAATGTTTGTCCTTTAATGAACAATTATTTAATTAATGAAATGAACACTTTGGTATTGATCACCTTAAAAATCCTATCATCAGTTCACTTCAACTTGTCAACAGATATTCTCCTTATAATTTTATTGAGTGTTTTAATAAAATTTCACATATAGTATATCCTGTCCATATACATAACTTGTCCACACTAAAGCTGTAGATCATGTATCTACTGTTAGATATATTTCAGATAATCTGTTTTAAGAAGATTTTAACTTTGAGTTTATTTATTTAAAAAAAATTCAGATCAAATGTACCTTCAAGTGAAACAACTCAAGTTTGTATTGGATAAGGAAGATCAGTTGACGGTGAAAGATGGTGATTGTGTAACAACAGTGGATTTGGCTGCACCGAATGCCAAAGAAATTAAAGCTAACCGAACATATAGGCAAGTGACAAGGTCAGTCTTGCTGGACAACATTATCAGCGCTTATTTCATACAGAGATAAGCTATTTTACTATTTAACTGGATTTTGTTATCACCATCTTCCCTTGAACTCGTTTTTGCTGTCTTGTTCGGTTGACCTCGTAACACTTAACTGACTGACACTCCCCATAAACGTCGCCAGTCTGGATCTATACCATTATGTTTATCAATTAGCGACTGACCTACTTGTCTTGCTTTTAAATTTTTGCTGAAATTCTTTGAATTTTGTCGATGCAGAAATTTGACACTATCCGAAATGAATTCGTGTTCATGGTTGTCTGCGTACACTAATATTAATGATGATACGTCATGTCATTTCACTGCTAGTTTACATCCATATATGTTTAAGTGAAGAGGAAGGAACCAAGCTGTTTTAATGAAATATCTTTGAATTGTAGACAATTTCTTTCTTGTCGTTAGGATTGGATTAAATGGAATGAAGTATTTCCTCTTTTTTATCACAGAAATTAATTTTGAAAGGTTTCAAAACTATTCTCCATCCCGTTAATACTTCTTTAGGGATTTCTGAGATACGTTCCATACACGGGGTTTTTGGGCTTGATTTTGCAATGACCTGTCAACTCATTAGTAATAATTTCATGAAGCTCGTGAAGTAACCATTTTTATGTTATATCTCCTAGTGAATTATGAATGGTAAATCTGAGGTCTATTTATAGACAAATGTAATATGCCTATTTCCTATTGTATAGTTGTTAAATAACTGACCTAATCGTATTCGTGTTCCTCTCATCATAACCCTTATTTTGACCTTTGAACTATTATTATTGATTACTTTCCCCCTATCCACAGCCACATTGGCCAATTATTGTACAAATGTTATTTTTCTATTTTTTGGTATAATTTGGTCTGCTTGGTTAGTATATAAATCCAGTATGCTTGTGAATAATGATTCATATTGCCGAGGCTGTTATTTGTGTTCTGTACTTAACGGGCTGGGCTAGACAGATAGGAAGGACTGAATAGCACCCAACACTGCTCGTACGATTTCAAGTATCATTTGCGTCCAATCAATAAATTCACTCCTCTCTAATTGCACGTTCATATATATTACGAGTCCAATCGATATAACAACTGGTAACTCATACGATATAACATTTAAGAAAAACTATCAGAAAATGTTTTTCTTTGATTTTAGCGTAGTCAGGGTGCTGGATTAAGTTTCGATCCTTCTGGATGTGCGCGGCTGTACAGTTTTCTTTATCATGATAAAATATCTGATCTGTGACTTGGAGTTCTGTATATTTGTTCTTTGATAGTTTCTCTGTTTACTTCGTTTATTAGAACAACTAAAGAGAAATATTGTTTCCTAACTCCTTTGTTATTGTAAAATCGATGCCATTAATGCAGTTGATTTCTTTCAACGATAATAAATGTATCGTTTATCTAAAAGATAAAACATCTTGTTCATTTTCATAATTGTTTGTTTAAATTTATTTCTGTTTTTTTTTTTTAATGAAAATTTTATTTTTCTAGATTATGTACATCATGGTATAGTAAAAACAAGGCAAAAGTATCTAATTCAACTGTGAAAAAATAGTACAGTCTATTAAAATGTGAAACATTTTACTTTGAAAAAAAAATTTTTTTTCAATAAAATTGATTATTTAATTATCCATATTTAACTTTTATTGATTTTTTATTTTTACCTTTCATCTTTTTGTTAAATATTATTGATTAATAATTATAATTATAGAATTGTAAAGATTGTTCAATTGGATTGAGATCATGAATCGATCTATGTAAGACCATCATTGAGAATGCTAGTAGACGTTTCGTCTTAGGACGGTACTCCTAAGCATTGTGATTAATTATTAGTAGGAAAAGTTCAATTGATTACCTTGAATACAATTTTTTTTATATATAAGATGAATGCATTCAATGTGATGATAGATATAGATCATTATTCAAAATTACAATGAGAATAGAAACCATGATATCGGTAGTAATGATAAAATAACACTAATTGAATCATAACAGTGACAACACATGGAAAATATTCATATGCATAGGAGAATGTTACATTAGTCATTCCTGTGCTTTTAAGGTAAAATAATCTATTTAACTGTCTTAGTTTTATATACTAGCTATAATAGCAGTATCAACTAGAGCAACATCGTCTACTCTTTAAATTATATCAATCAAAAGGCAACTCAATTTCAAGGTTAGATGACTTTGAAAACTTAGTGAAGTTTGTTTGAAGTCAGATGACTGTAACTAATTGACAGAAAGCCTCGAACTTGAGTTTCTTGCCATTTGTTGCTATATATTGACATAACATATCGACAGTTTTGCTGAAGACGATATTATCCACGGAAATTCGTGTATATATGCCTTAGTGCCATTAAAGCCTGAACTAGGTAAACTGAATTACCAATGCAACAAAAAAAACACTAAGGAATAAGTCATATTAAACGAAATGTTACTTTTTATGAAAATAAAACAAAATCGTAGATAAAATGGAAATAGAAAGTTCTTAAGTGACATGAACGAAGTAAAATAAGACAAGTTGTATAGATTACATTCGATTAAAAGTAGTATACCACTTTGATAAAAAGCACAATAGGCTATTAAAGTGGGATTGTTAGTTCTTTATATTATTTTAAACAATCCCCAAAGAATTTTATGGCCAAATGTAAACACAATTCCTAGAATTTCATTGATATAACCGTTATGAACATTTTCTTGATACCATCTCATGAAGTCGACATCTCACCTTATTTACGTATACAGTTTAAGCCTCTATATTATAAAATAAGGAATGTGAGCTTTTGCAATAAATTGGCTAAAATGTGTCCGATAAGTAGATGCCTGTATCTTATGACAGAGATAATTATCAATTTATCGTTTCCACTAAGACAGATTACTTGGTTGTATATCTTGCATCGACGTCACTTTTAAGTAGTATTTTCAAGACAAAGATCATATAGACAATTATCTCAAATTCAACTCGACTACAAATGGATGACAATAGGGATTTAAATATTTGTGGATATCAGTTGACAATTAATTGAGTAATTTTATCAAGAACGATAAATTTATTGCTAGGCAAAAGCTATAATCAAACGTTCTATCGAACAGTACATACCCATACATTTGATCAAGTCCAGTCATAATAACAATGTTATTTGATGCCTGAAGTATTTCAAGATAAGAGGAGTATAGGGATTTACCGATTCTTGTTTGATTATCACTAAAATTGTACTGGCTAACTGAAAATACAACATTTTGATTTTTTTTTTAAATGGAATGATAAACTTAAATTATTACCATGAGTAAGGCAAATGTTGGATATCATACCACTACTACTACTGCTACTACTATAACTACTACTACTATTACTACTACTACTACTACTAGTACTAATAATAATAATAATAATAACGGGATTGATAATAATCCGTCTACTGCGTACCATATACCTGATTGCAGTGAAGAATTTTCAGCAAAAGGATATGCAACATATAGCAGAAAGTATCCTTTCAACTAGTGAATACTCAGAAAAATTATATGGTAAAACGTCTTTTACCAATGATAATCTGTTATTAACATTTAACCATAAACGTATATGACCAGTTCTCATCTGTACAGGTGTTTTATTTTATAAACGCCACACTGTTATCGATATATGAGTTCTAATATAAAATTCTTTTGTTATGTTCTAAGGATACGAACTACTGCAGTGTTTCTACTTAAGTTTACCAGTATTTAACATCATTACAATTTGTAAGAATTTCGTGAAATTAAGAAAAGTTAACATACATGATTGATTTATTAGAAGCTAATTTAAATGGCACATACTTCGTAATATGAAAATAACTAGAAAGTAATCTACACTAAGGCATGAACAGTGAACAATGATTACAAAACTTAAGTGGAATTACGCAAAATTTGAGTAATAACAAAAATTATGTTAACTATCAACACGATAGGCAGAAAAATAGAGAAAAAAAGATCCTGTTCAAAATGTAAAAGGTGGACTCGATTAAAAGTTGCTTAGTGAACACATCACATCTCTGACTGCTTTGCTTAACTACATAATAATTATCGTAGAAAAATTAGAATTGGAGATTTTTTTAATCGTGTGTATTGTCTTCGTTATAAAATCGAAATGTTATATCTTCAATTATGCATGGAGTTAACGGTTTATACTAGCCAACAGATGTAGAGTATCTCAGTTCTGGTTTCTGATGATAAACTAAATTCATACATTTTTCTTAATGAAACATTAGGATTCAGCTGTCAGGTTTCGTGTAAAAATGCAGGCATCGGGAGACTTTAGTTGTCGTAAATTGTAGTGATATTATACAAAACAAAATAAGGACAAGGTATTTTCTCATGATGAAAGATGATGTGTCCAGGTATGCAGTGAGTTGTCAAAAGCTGTCGTAAAAGGTAAGCCATATAAATGATTGGATATAACTCAAGTTACTTATAATTAATAAGTAGTATACAAAATAAGAAAGAATAAGCATCATCCTTGTCTGTTATAATACATTAACCTTTATGATTATTGCAAATGGTGGTACAATTGAAAAGCTTTTAAAAACATTGAAGTGTATGTAAAATGAGGAACGTCAAGTACAGAGTTGCGATGTCCAAATATTAGCATAGATCTACGAGTAGAGAATAATTGTTCTATACAAGAAGTCTTGTCTAAATTAGAGCGAATTGTAATTGTAATTGTTCATCATTAGAATAGAAGTATTTATTTATTTCCTTTTCCATATCATTTGGTTCAGTGACAAGTTTTTGAGCTCTTCTAATCATATTTTTGGCCACTGTCACTTTGGTCGAGTGTGGATGAGCCGATTTAAAATCTAAAAATTTCCCTAAATATGTCGGCTTTCGGAATATACTAATTTTTAAACTATCATAATCTTTCCTTTCAACTAAACAGTCTAGGAAAGGTAATTTGTGTTCAAGAGATTCCAACTCCTTGGTGAACTTGATTTTTCCATCAAAGTTGTTCACAAGTTTAAAAAGTTCGTCCAAATGATCTCGTTTTATAATGACAAAAGTGTCATCAACATATCTTAACCATACTTCTGGTGCATGAGAACACATTGAGATGGCACTAGTTTCCAATGAATGCATAAAAAGGTTAGCAACGATTGGAGAAACCGGTAATCCCATAGCTACACCTTCTGTTTGTCTGTATAAATCCCCTCAAAAACTGAATACAGTTGAATGTAAACATAGATCTAACGCTTTAATAATATTCGAGGTAACTAGAGTACAATGTTGTTTAAGATCAATGTCAGAATCTAAGAGGTTATATACTTGTTCTGCTTAGAATATATGTGCTGAGCTTCAGACGTCAGTCGTCATGCCCACCAAGCCCTTTCAAAGTTGATCATTTGTCCCGCTTCTAGCGAATGTAATTCTACGGTCAGTCTACTCCCGAAATTCTCAAGATCAATCAAGGGTTTGGGAGTATGCTTCGAATATTGTTGGTGTTCTTTCAACCCCATATTCAGATGTGTGGATGCATCACACATATAAAGTACACTGGATTTATGACATTTAGATTCTTAGACAACGTCCTGTTGTTGTTGTCCTTAGTGAAATATCCTCAAATTTAAATAAAGCTTACCTTACTGTATCACTAGTCCGGAAATAAGCTTTTATACCATCGTTACTTAGAATTCTCTTGCTTTCCTTCGATGTTTCAGTAGGGTATGAAGTAACAATTGTGTTCTTGTTTTCGCTCAGTATACTCTAATTCGTTTTTTGTCCTAAACATCTTCTAGATAATTGTTAACCCTAAGTGTAGAAAACATTAATTTAACGTAATCTGACGTTCTTTTTCCGTAGTGAGATTACAACTGTTAAATAGGTTTTTCACTGCTGAGACCCTCGTAGAACAACCATGTATCAACCTGTAATTTAAATATCTATCAAAGTGCATTGATTTCCGGAAAACACCAATTTTCAAGTTATTGCTATGACGTATTTCAGTTAAACTATTGACAAACTTTAGTTTATGGTCAGTAGGTTCTATCTCCTTGATTAGACTAATGCAATTTGATACTTGGTTAATAGTTGTAATTTCACTGCAGAGAAAGCAGACCATAAGATTAATATGTAATTTTGTCTAACAATTATCTCACAGTTTTCGAAGAAGACTTTTAAAAATGAAAAATAAAACGAAACTAGGATGTATACAGATTGTCTGGGTTTATCAGTATGCGAAGTTACTCATAAAAACCTAAAGAACTTCTATCCACTGCAAAACTACTGAGGAACCAAACGGTTGTCCGGTTCCATAATCTGATAAATCAATTACCAAAATTATTACCAATGTAAGTTACTTTCCTAGAAGATTGTAGAGTCCCAAGTGCATTTGTAAACTTAGAAATACCATTTTTGTCAATAAATGAACTTACCTTGGTGATGAAGACTACCTCACATTTCTAGTATCTTTAGGATTTTTAAGAGCTGGATATTATGAGGACTGAGAAATGGACTTGGAAGCAAGTACGATATACAAGGCCTAACAACTAGATGTATCAATTATCCAACATGTAATCTTTTGAAATAAACATCAGTGGGTAGAATACACTATGTGATGCCAATTTAGTTTAAATTGTCCCGGTATTGAAAAGTAACATAACATAATGACCCGATAAGAATAGGGGATAAACATCCATCATCTTCTATTGCCAAACATATGATCAAAAAGGTCATAAGGTTGACCTTAATTCGGCTTTTGTGGTGTATAAAAGTGTAAAAGGGAGTATACTAAGGTTAATTGAAGCTTTAACCATGCGAAAGTTCAACCCCCTTTATGTATTTGAAAACAGTTTGTTCTCACCTTAAACCTACCCTGGCAATATTAGTTTATTATCCAGAGTGATTAGGTGTCAAGTTGTTTTCACATTATTTATATTATTATCATTATTATGCTTGTCTACTTTTATTCCCCATTTGGAGTTTAGTTGTCCTTTTATTTTATATATAGATGTTCTTAACAAGCATATGTGTTCCAAATGTATTGCGCTAATATATCATAACATAGTTCTGATGATCTTCGTCTTCTTATTACACTATCGAAATATTTCATTGTATTATAATGGGTTTTACTAAAATGGTAAACTTGATGTAATATCATTTATAAATGTTTTGTCCGAAGTATTACACACTTTAACAGTTACCAACTACTTCACTGTATGTTATTTACAGGGTGGATGTAGGAAAATGAATGAGATATTTCAATTAGGCCACAAGAAGTTGTGGCTACAATATCTCAGTGATAATGTCTCTGACAGATAATAGATAGTATGAATTTGAATGTCACTGAGAGCATAAAGTAATGCAAGAATGCAAATGTCCTTACCATAATGTATCGACTAGCACAGGTTAAGGACCTTCTGATGATCACCACTAATCACCAGCTTAAATTAGAACATCATAATAGTCCCGACTGCCACTAGTGTATCCAATCAGTGGTGGTGTTCCAGCCATTTAAGATTCCTTGAGCCTTATTCGGTGAAGCCTGAGTGGCTTTTCTAGATCTGTTTTCTGTGTTTCAAGGCCCACCAACTGCCAGCATAGATGTGATATTGTGGGGAGATCGGTACCTTCTGGTCATAGCGCGTGGGCAAGTATGTGGTACAAAATTCCTGCTGATAACACATAAGTTTTCACATATGCATCCTTTAGGATATAGAGGTATACTCACCCTGGGAGCGAATATGTGTTACATACACACCGGTAACACACATTTTTCCACTTATGCATTCTTTAGCATACATACAGCGTTGATGGTCAGAGCTTCTTTCTAACATATTTGCTACAACTGACTATATCTTACTCATTACACTCATACAACTGGTATGAAGACTTTCGTCCATGCACTTCACGACATACACATAAGCATAAGGACTCACAGGGAGAACTGATGATTATCGTCCCTTAGTGTTTGCTACCATATCTTCTTATTATGTTTTCACCTGATGGTTTAGGCTGCTGATTTTATTATATATAAGGCAGACATTTAAGCTTACTTTCTTTTGGCGAGCCCGGTGCGTACTCTTTGCATATACCTAGATACACCACTACACAAGCCAAGAATCATGCAATTCATAAATATGAGCGTAAATGTCGGGCAGCCCCCAAGACTTAATGAGTCGCGAAATATTAAATTGGATTGTTATTGCTCACATTGATTGATCACTGATTAATAACAACTGTGGTGTTATCTACGCCTTAGTATTAATCAGATATCAGAGACCAACTGTAAGGTGATCGAATACAGATACTCTTTGTTGATGAGTACAGACTGGCATGAAACCAAGGTTCATATTTTTTGCCTGATCTGAATACCAGAGGCCTGTACAAACTTCTGGACCACTTATTCTCGAAAACATGCATTTATTGTCATAAACATTCTTGCTTTAGATTTGTTTTATTTATGTAACTCTTTTTGTTATTTATGTCTCCCTACACACTTTTCTATAATGCTTACGACCTATTAAGAATCTAATTATTGAGAGCCTCAAGAAGTTTCAACACCGTGGTGTATGTATATATATTTTTCTCTTATTGAGAAAGGAGAATCGATTACTATAGAATTTATGTATCAAATATAAAAAGAGATGTCATGGGAGTAGAACTGTTCGTAAACATTAGCAGATGAATATAAATATATATAAATACCATCCCATCCCCGTCGCCAATTGTTACATCGTGCGGCCGAGTGCCCTGTTAATATATGTTGTGATGATTACCGCCAATTGTAGAGCAGCGGTTTATTGATCGGACCAGTGACATACGAAACATGAACGAGCAGTTTACAGCACTCGTCTGTCCTGCTAACAGCCTAGCCCAGCCAGTTAAGTCCAGAACACCAATAACAGTCTCTGTAATATGAATCATTGTATTTCAAACATACTGAGTTTATATACCAATCAAAAAGGCGACATCGTACCGTAAAATAGAAAATAACATTTGTACAAGATTCAGCTAAATGTGGATGTGAACGAGGGGAGCAGTAATTAACAGATTGGGGATAACTCAGGAATGGTAAATCGTACAGTAATATTCTATGGGTCAAAATGAAGCTTATAATAAAAGGAACATGAATATGAATAGTTAAGTTACATAACAATTATACAATAAAAATATACACATAGTATTGGTCCATTAATAGTCCTCAAAAGTTACCATTCCTAATTCTCCACGGGATATAACATTTAGCACAGGTTGAATGTAGTAAATTAGTTAATTAATTAAAATTACACGTTATTTTACTTAAATATTCATGTCAATAATGAACTATTCAAATGTCATTATATTCATTAAACTATACTGTGTTTTAACAATGGAGAAGATTAATGACAATGACATTATATTCAATCTTTGTATTCTATTGATCATTTAAGTATGGATAGATAATTATAGATAGTATAAATGGGATTATATAAATTGCTTTATAACTTAATGGTTTATTAATTATTATTATTATTATTATTGAAGTAAGTCATTATCAGCTGCTAATATTAATAATTCTATTCTCTCATGATAAGTTGAAGATAATTTGACATTGAAGAATGATATCAACTAAAGAAAACTGTTTTAATAAATGTTTCATTCAAGGTTAGGAATGTTTAACAGTAAACACTGACAATCAAACATAAGATCTGATCTCATAATGAACATGATACAATTAGACTACTTATCTGGATGATATGGTTTTACGATTTTAACTTTAGACAATACACATTAAGCATACTCAAACATTATCCCTCACCGTTGGTGATGGCTATCTCACCATCAACTCCAAAAACCATATATTTTAATTGGTAGTTCCATGATTTTAGTCAAAGTTGGTTGCTAATCAAGCAATAATATTCCATATATGCATTCGAAAAAACTTTAAACATGTGTACCTTTCATACGATGGATAGTTTCTTTGATTATTATTTTAGAACAAAGAATGGTTAATCTATCTACTGCGTATTATTTATTAATTGGTTTAATACTATCATATATGGAACTAGACAGTTGTTTTGTACTCCAAGCTCCATTGCAGTTCGATAATCATGGTGAGTTGTTGATAGTTTATCTGAGGTTAATTACCATTTGTTTTTATGATTAATTGAGGTATAAATATGTGATTTTACGTGTACGCCACTAGGAAAAACAGAAAATCTTAACATTTAATGAGAAAATTGTTTTGATGGGAATGTAGAAAGTTTGTTTTAGCCAATCTGATAAATTGTTACTCGTCTGCAGAATTGTTGAAAACTAAGGACACTTGATTATAATTTCATTCGGCAGTATATGTCCAATGTGTCTTTCAGGTAATAAATTAAGATCTACTTGCTCATATTGCCCTAACACCACTTGAATTCGTGGCATAGCGCTATCCTCTTCCACTGTCATCGGTGAGTAACTATTCTATTTCTGATTTATTTAACTTTAGAAGTCCCAATTTCTGACTTGGACTTTATTTCAAGAGAAATCTGTCATATGTAGAAACAACTATCGGGGTTTTCTAGCATACAGTGTATGCTCAACTTATCAGTCCATAAAAAAATTATCAATATCACTGAATAAACGTATGGGTTGGTTAGAGATGTAGAGAGAATTTGGAATTGTTAGGATAATTGATAGTGAATTCTTTCTTATACATATCGATTTATTAGGAGGCTTGAAAATTATGCTTTAAATCAACTGTTCTCATAGGTGCTTTTCCTCTATTGATCAATATTATAAAACAGTTCAAAGAATTTCGTCTCAACTTTTAAGCTAGCACAATCAATTTTGCCAATAAGCAAACAGAATGTCGGTATTTTATCCATGATTCACATAAATAGTTATTCATTATTTAGACTGCTGAAAAGAAAACTTATTATAAGTAATATATTATTTATAATGCTGCTTCAAACAGTCGTATTTTCTTCAACTTCATACAAGAGTATTGACAGTGAAGTTGTATCGAAACATCACTGATCACGTAAGTACCGAAAACATTATGAAAACATAAAATAAAGGCATCGTCTAGTGTTTACGTGCACAATATAGTAAAAGTGAGGCAATATGAAATTATTTTAAAGGAAAACAGTGTTTTGATAGAAAGAGAGAGATATATTTCATTAAAACATAATGTAAAATGATTTTTTTTTAGACATAAACAACATTCAGAAGGCGGGCTATTTCAAATAAAACTAAATTTGCTGCCAGGACGACCTGAGAAACTTGACTATACTCATTTCTCTACATTAAACACATAAACAATTCTGGTATATATATATATATATATATATATATATATATATATATATATATATATATATGTCAAACTTCAGTAATAAATAAATTCCCCAGTCTAAACAGTTTTACAAGTAAAATGTTCATTTTTTGAGTCAGATCACATCCGTGAACAACCGTACTCATGTATGAATTTCTGGTTAACTCAAATTCAAACTTCAATTAACACAAAAGAGAATTTCAAGTCAATATTGCTTCTTTTAAGATAAGTAAATTGGTTCATGGTTAAAAATGTACTAGTGAAAAATCATGCTCATTTCTAATAAATTGACAAATGTTAATTTCATTCTGAAATATTGTATTCCAGTTCATTGATTGAACACAATGGTGGACGGTGACGCGATATTGTGAATTAGTTGAAGTTAGACGTCAACACCATTGGATATCGGATCAAAGGTCTAGAGGTTCAGCGTTCAGGCTCACGAGGCCGATAGGTCCTGGATTGGAATCTCGCTAGGCGGGGTCGTGGATGCGCGCTGCTGAGGAGTCCCACGATAGGACGAAACGGTCGTCCAGTGTTTCCAGGTTTTCCATGATGATTTAACTTCAATCGACTCATGAATTCAACTATGAAAATATTTTGTATAAACTATTGGCCTTACATAAAATCTGTGTTTATGTGTCCTTAGTAAAAACGTTTCCCAACTACCGATATATATTTAACGCAATACCGGTTATTAATATTGTCATTTTTTTAAAATAATTTTAGGGAATCGAAAAATCAAAGTTGGACGCGAAAAGTATAGTTTAGATTCAAAAAATCATCTGAAATATCGGATTCAAGACTGTAAACTCACTTTGGATTTCACTCCAGCTAATAAAACTGAGATCACCAATAAGGGTGTTCGTAAAGTTACCTTGTGAGTAAATTACAACTGAGTTATCAAATTAGTATATAAATATTATATATATATATCGGCATTTAATATATTTAGTAGGAAAAATTGGTACGTCAATATTTTGCGGTCATTCTCTTTAAGATAAGTTCGTTTTTCCTTTGAACTATCCGATTTAATTATTTATGTCCAATTATTCATATTTGTATTGGTTGTTTGAATCTTTCCGCTGATGTTTAGGACTGCAATTGATCAGTCACTTATTGGCTTACGTGCATCCTATGTGGATTGCCTCGATATTGTCTCTAGTCACAAGCATTATGAGCAGAGACGAACAAAACGGGGGACCTCACTTTCAATGCTAGCCATCATCCATGATCTTAATAAAAAATTCGACAATATCTAGAACTCCATACTGATAATCACCAAGTGCCCACTAGTGACTAGCTTCCAGAGGTAATTCACGAAGTTCTCGTGAGAAGCCGTGAACAGTGGGGTTCAGTTCGTGTCAGGTAGAGACAGGTTTTTACCTCAGACAATCGAAGATGGTCGTGTAATTTCATGGAGTGGTTGAGATAGATATTAACACCGTTATATGCCGGCCCAAAGGTCTAGATTGTGGGTGCGAACTGTTGAAGAGTTCCACAATGGGACGAAACGGCTGTCCAGTGCATTCACGTTTTCAATGGTGATCTAACAATGATCGATTCATGATCTCAATCAAAAACTCAACAGTCTCCAAAACCCCATACTGATAACCAATACAAAAATGAATTAGAAATTCCCTCTATTGCACAAGTTAATGGTTATCTGAAGTCAGTTGATAGGTGAATAACGCGATGGCGTTTGAATTGAGTCCTGGAGTGGACATCAACTCTGGGATGCAGGTATATCAAGCTGATAAAAAAGTTCGTCACATATCTTTTATTATATATGTACACATAAGGCTGTGAATCCATACATAGACCCGTAAATTTTCCAAGTCACACGGTATCTTCCTTCTAGGGTTGTAAATCAGTTAAAATGAGCCATGTAATTATAAAAAGATGATATTGAATGACAAGTGTAAACTGTATGCATGATTTAAGCAGTAAGTAGATTTCTATGTTAATGAATTACTATTGTTATTTGAAGTCTTCGAATTAATTATAAACCAACTTGTCTAACAAATTCACAGTAGTTAAGTACAATGAAAGGTTTTTCAGAAACATAACTCTTCTCTTTATAATTCATTTGTTTTTCAATAGAACTGAGGGATGCGCGAAGATCTTGGAGACGTCAGGAATACTGGGTAGCTAGAATTGATTATTGAGTCATAAATAAACCCAGAGAGATGTTCTGTACTATTATGTAGACAATTGAATGCAAGTAAAGCACTACAAATATACTTAACTTTACACGGAAGCTCTAATTTTTATTGACCATTACTAGAAAAACTTATAAGACATCATTTCGGTGAACCAAATTTGCTTCAGTATAATATTTACAACTTCCTGAGAGGTTACTTCGTAAAACATTGGATAATTAGATTGATTTCATTCGGGCTTTTAAATGAACAGGAAACTTGACCAAAGGATTTACTAATCCATCGTCATACATTTTGCAATGTACAACCATTTTGTGTGAGGTTGTGTTTATTAACTATTGAACAATATACGAAAATGTCTTACACCTACTTTGGTCACTTGAGTTCAGCTTAATGATGTTTGACCATGACAATGATATGTTTGTTTACGGGAGAAAAATAGGCAGTATACATATTTCTAACCCCATCTGAGCTGCAGTTGGTGACTGTGTAGATAAAAATTCATAGAATATTCCCGCATCTGTCCGCTCAACTTATAATCAAGTTACGCATATTTATTTAAACACGTAAATATTGGTACAAGGAAGCACTAGATACATATGCGCCTAAAAAATATCATTCGATTTGCTTGAGGGATGTGATACTGCTCAGGTGCCCGAACTGAAGCAGGTGGTTTTCTTAAGGGGCCACGCCCGGAGCCTTTGACCGAAAGATCTGATCCACAAGGCAGTGCAGCATCGTAAGGAGATGCAGTCCCATGGTAGCCGGTCACCAACAACAGGTTCGTTCCTTCAGGATACTGGAGCCAGCCCATGTGCACCATTGGTTTGGAACTAGGGTTTCCCAACTCCCCTAGGTGGACTCGCCTTGTCCACTAACCCGGTTAAAGCGCCGGACATTCGCTTTTCGTCCTCTCAATTTCGTAAACAACATCCCCGCCACGAGAAGGCAGTGAGTAGGACTTCCCTGGAAGAGGCTATATATTCGCGTGGCCATGTGAGAGCATTTGGAGAGGGAGAGCGGACTCTCCCAACTCTCGACCGTACCAGGGCATTTGTGGGCACATATATATCACCCGTACTTGCTACACTTGTTACATGTAGTCTAATTGGTAACTATAACTGTACAGTTCTCCTGACTGCATGCAATTCGAAGACACACCACAGATAATGCCCATAAAACTTATACCTACTTAGCAATGTTTTCATGTGATATGAAAATAAAAGTACTACGCAGGGAGATTCTAGCAATAAAACAAGGTAAAAGTTCCAAAAGCTGATAATAAGTTGAAGTAGACCAATGATTAACGTGTGTAACCAGTCAACAGTACCTGACAACTAAAATAGAGAACCTAACTTCTCTTTAAGTTACTTCCGAAACTCTTATATGTTATTGTGAAATACAGATCTAATGTAACCAATAGATAAATGGTCTTTAGGGAGATGGCAACTTTACCATTCGTTATACAAATTTTTTCAAGCAGTTAAACATACGCAAATAAATTGCTCGCCAGATATCTGTAAGTGAAAATCTAAAGACCTCCTTTATTTTGCACAGAACGTTTGGAACCAGCTTATTTATGAGTATTAACAAGTGTGAGTTTGCTTACTACGATAGTTTATTGCCCAGCTTACTATGTAACATTATAGTCTTTCAATAAAGTTGGAGTAAAGATTAGAAGTGTCGAAGAAAAATGGTTTTACAGATTGCCTCTAAGTGTATTAATCTCTACAATAAGTATTCTAAGGTCGTAAGAAATTTGCTTTAGAAATCCGAGGGTATACTAGTTTTGAGGTGTGGGTTACTTATATCCACATAAGTGGTATATGATGGTCAGGTATAGAATGCATTCCAGAAGGAGATCGATAACGAAAAATCGGAAACGGAACGCAGTTTTCATGAACAATAATAACCGGAGACGATGGACTGATATTTGCAGAGGGAACGATCAAAATTGAGAGAAATTATTGATAGTTGGCAAATTAACTGTTTACTGTATGGTTGTCGGATTTTAGTGAGATATCCTGTAATTTTGTGTTCAAATACATTTGATTGTTCCCACTAGTGTTCTTGTTCACCACAGTATTACTCCTCTTCTAAATACTTCACATTTGTGACGATACACTTGCCCAACCTGCATTTCCATTATTTAAAGCATTCTGAAAACTTGGGATCGTCTGACATCATGAACACAGATGATTTTCTTAAATTTATTTGATCGGCAACCATCCGCATAGTGAATTCTTGATTAGAAAATACAAAACACAAGGCATGTTTGATGCTTTCATCAGCTCAGTAGTTTGATGGCTCAATTAACTCAGAATCATCCTTACGGCTTCCAAATGAAATAGTTGATCCAGTTTTTTCTTCATAGACAGTCTACAAGGTTACGTGAATTTCCTGAGTTTTTCTCAAGTTATACTAAATGATGCTAGTTACTCGATTAGTGTAGTAGTTGAATTTAAATGTAGAGTATAAGTTGTGTGATAAATTCAATGCTAGCTTCCTCATTTTCATACAATACAAATTTATTAATTAGCTGAGTAATAATAAAAATATATACTGAGTTTACGTACCAGCCGTCTGACGCAAATTTCATATAGTACTGACTTATCTTCACTTCTTTTAATAAAAAATTATTCTAATCGGAGTCATTATTTACAGCATCCATCACTTCAGTCATATACAACACTGATACAATATGATGAGATTAACTTGGCATGATCATTTCCCATTTATGTGAATCGTAGTGTATTCACAGATATTGTTTAGGGGCTAGAAGAACAGTTTTTTATAAGACTATAGATGATTATCCATTAAATTTGTCAAAACTAACAAACATTGGTTTTTATAAATTTTTAATTTGCATGTCATTTGTGTTACATTCAAATACTCAAACATCTTATCTTAACTAATTAAAATTCTAACCAAAATGGTATATCACTACATTGACCAAGATCGCTTGATAAGGGAAAAAAATCGATTAATAATATCCTTCATTCTACAAAATATGATCAATACTGAAATCTCCACAAATGCCCTTCTGATTATAATCATATGCTCACTAGTGACTGACTTCAAGATACATATCCTGCAGTTCTAGTGGGAAACAGTGACCAGTGGAGTTAAACCAAGTCTGTTTTGAGATAACAACTAACTGAAGACAATTGGTGAATGGTCGCTCATAATTCGTGGATCGGTTGAAGTTAACACCGTTGGATGCCGGCTCAGTGGTCTATCGGTTAAGGGCTCTGGCTCGAGACTAGTAAGTCATGGGTTCGAGTCTCGGGAGTGCGGGGTCGTGGGTGCGCACTGCTGAGGAGTCCCGTAATAGAACGAAACGACCGTCCAGTGCTTCCAGGTTTTCGATGGTGGTCTAGCTTCAATTGACTCATGATTTCAACTTTGAAAATCCCCTTCTGATCAATTTAAAATGTTCAATTTCAGATTGATTCTTTGAAATAATCCATATTTCCAGTGGTGGTGTAAAAATTTAAGCCTAATCTACCTTATAAAATTGTGTATAGAGAAAGATTTAGTTGACAACATACATTATTTATGGCAATAATTCTATTTTATTTATTTGTTACGTTTTTATAATTCACTTATCTACTTTTAAAATAATTCCCTCTCTTATATGTATGCTCCTTACTCATATTCAAAATACATAATGATATTGTCTATCAATTTAAACATGCAGTTTATGGCACCTATTCATTGTAACGTCGAATAATCGTATGTAGTTCAAACACTTGAATATTATAGTATATTTTAGATTATATATTTTAAGTCCTAACTTTCTAGATATTTATGTTTTTTTATCCGATATGGTCGACTGAGTCATACTGTCATGTACATAACAAACAATCGAGAATAACTCTAGATACTTGAAATGAAACCGTTTGATAAAACTAACACTTTGATATGTATCACTCACCCGCTAAATGAGCAGAAAAGTCGATGAAATCATTAGATATAGGATACCTATTAAACATTGTAAACCTGGATAATCTCAACTTATAAACGCACTTGTAAATGGTAAAACATGTTAGATTATTCAACAAAAATAAAATTGAAAGGAGTATAACCGGCTAACTACTGAATTATCAGATTTACCAATTAAATTTTATTAAAAATCATGATTTTTATAAAAGAAATGAAAATAAATGAAATACACATATAAAAAAAACACACTAAAGTATTCGACAGAGTTACGTTTAACCACAAAAACGGGTAATTATATGCCAGTGATGAACATCTATTCATGTTTCTGTTGACTAAAGAAACAACAATAGTAAAAGAATATGTTGAATATGCATAGACTGATGTATGTAATATGGGTTTTCTTCACGACCGGAAAATATATATGAATGTATATATCATCATTCAGCAGTTTGTTTATTCTATTTTCTTCAGCCATGTACATATATTATGAAAGAAAGCAAAAGCTGATGAGATATTTCAAGGCAAATAGGTACTACAAAGATGTAAAATCATTGTTAGCACTTTTAATTTATTGAATATAAAGAAAGTGTAACAATACTCAATTAATACAAACAACTAGTATCAATATTAAATTCAATCGTGGCTACCACATACGTTGTTATCGATGTCTCCTTTCAAATAAACCAACAAAGAATAGAATCAACCAAATTATTCTAATCCATTGGGAAAACAGTATCATCTTCTTCCTGAGTGACCAATTTATCCAGTTTATTCTTAAGATTATTATTATTTAATTGAAGAGAAATATCGTCAACATTCGATTCATTGATTTCATCAAAACTATTGTCGATTAACTGTAGTGAACTGTTTAAATCATTATTGTTCTGTATGTAAGCATTGGGAACAGTTAATTGTTTCGATCGGGTTGAGTTAACTTCCGGAATAGATTTTCTATAAATAGTTGAGTTTTTTTTAGAGAAAAGAATTATCTTATTAGAAAAATTATCAGTAAAAATATCACAAGAAATGAGCAAAATAAGTCGCTTGATTAAAAAAAAACAGTCAGGTACATTTGGATTGTGACAAGCGGTGGGATCCTGAATATATGCAATTTGTCCTACTTGAAACCCAA